ACAGTTCATCTTCATGTGTATACTTATTGGTAGGGATATACGGCTCACCCTCACGCTCACGCATATGGTGATCGTGAGAAGTAGGCGCTCATGCTCATATGAGCGCTCATGAGCGTGAGCAAACATACTCTTGGGTCCTCATATCGTATTATATGAAGATACCCTTAGGTCCTCATCTTCCATTATTTGAAGATACCCTTGGATTCACATGTTCTATTATATGGAGACACTCTTGGATCCTCATGTCTTATTATTTGAAGATATCCTTAAGTCCTCATCTCCTATTATGTGGAGATGTCCTCCGGTCTTCGGGTCCTGTTATATAAGGATAATAATAGGTCAGCAGAAGAATGTAACAATGCTAATACTTCCAATATTAATAACAAATGCTATTCGTAGTATTAGTATTGTTAGTTTGCAAAGGAAAATCAAACTTGAAAAATTCCGGAAAACTAATGATAGTTTCGGATTCCTCGACTTCATCAAACTTTGACCAAACTTTATAAAAAAAACCCTTACTTTCGGAAATGTTATAATCTCAGTTTCTATCTTATTGTTCACAATTCCCTGAGCACCCTTATTATATTTGGACACCTTTCGTTCTGAAAAGGTGCCGAGGTACTTAGAAGGTGTTGAAAAGGTGCTAAGGTGCTGTCGGCTCTAAACTTGCACTTTCCCCCTTGCCTAAGGGTGTCCTCAAAAAACAGAAGATGAGGATCTAATGGTATCTTCAAATAATAAGACATGAGGACCCAAGAGTATCTCCATATAATAGAACTTGAGTATCCAAGGGTATCTTCAAACAATAGAAGATGAGTACCAATGGATATCTTCGCTCACATGCATGAGTGTGAACGTGAGTTGTACATCCCTATTTATTGGTTTAATTTCACCGGTGACAAATTGTGTTGTTTTTAAAACTGAAAATTGGTATATTAAAATTAATTAATCATAAATTTATTTTTTTTCTTGTGAAAATATTTATAGAATATCAAGTAAAGATGCTAAATAAATAAGATGATGTGAACGTATAGCTCACCTTGAAGAATATATTTAACATATGTGAATCAAATTCAAAAATGCTTAAAGAACAATGAATGACGGTATCATCTAATATTTATTATTTGAAATTTAGTTTTTCAGGTTTAATGAGTAGTGGTGATGTATCTCTAGCTGGTTTTTTTTTCTGTGATCAACATAGAATAATATTCCTCTTGTATTTATCAACTCAGATCAAAATCATCCCGGTCGGATCTGACACTATCCGACAGTCGGAATCCAGTCGGGTGTGGGTATAGATGTGGGTAGGTGTGCATGTGCACACTGAACTCAACAACTCACACCTATACCTCCACGTCCGCATCCACTTCATTTTTAATTTAATAGATAAAATGATCTTTTTTTCAGGAGAATTAAATAAAAAAAATAGCAGGAGCAGATTATAGAATTCAATCTGATGACAAAACAAGAGGATAATTCGAAAAGAAATGATTAGATAAAAAGTTGTTTTTTTATCAGGTTGATGAAATGGTCGGCAATGCTAATAATACAACATACGATGATAGCAGCCCAGGTGAAACAATCCGACTATAAGTTCTTGTACGATTCTTTCAAGTTCATATAGGAACATACTGTATAATCTTACATGAACATACAAGATCTTATGAAAATCGTATGCGATCTTGTACGATTTCATATGACAATCGTAAAGTCATCACCCAAGTTAAAAAATCAGACATAAGGTCTTATAAGACCAGGTGAAATCGTACAAAAAAATCGTGGTCTCAGAAATCTTATATCAAACTGCACTGTAAGATTCTTGTAAGATCTTACCGTGGTATAAGATTTTCTATAATCTTACAGTGATATCTTACAAAATCGTAAGATCTTTCAAGAATCTTAAGGTACGACTTGGTGTAAGATATCTGAGACCACGACTTTTCGTCTGATCTTATAAGATCATTCAAGGTCAGATGCAAAATCTTGTCAAACCTTAGTGTCTGATTGTTTGACCTGAGCATTTCTGATGAAATCGTACTGTACGATTCTTGTATAATCTTTATGTCAGATAGTACAAGATCTTAAGTGATCCATGCATGATTTTTCAAAGCTTCATAGAGCATTGTATAGCTGATTTGACCCATTTCTGACTTCTGTAATATTTGAGATTTTCAACATTGTATTTGATCTATAGTAACGCATATGGGTGTTTCCATGGGATGTCGCTAGGACCATGCGGCGACCACGTTCAAATTCAGTGAAACTTTCAGAGTTTGTAGAGTTTTTTGTGCTAATCATTTTGGTTATAAAATTTTTATATTTGGTCGCTATTTTTTAGAGAAATACGGGTCAGATACTATTGATGCATTTTATGTTTTTTTCAATCAATTCATGTCATATTTTTATCGAAAAAACCGATCATAGTTCATGATTATCCATTTGGATTTTAAGACCAATTACATATTTGGATTCCTCTCGAAAAACTGCACCAGAATCCTTAGGAACCTAAAAACTTTTCACGCATTTTTATACTGCCCACTGATTCACAATGTAGAGAAACAGTCTATGAAAAATTCGATCAGAAAGTTGAAATAAACGAGAATGGTGGCCTTACCAGTTCAATAGAGCAAAACTTGCTCTACAACATCCACTAATTAGTTTTCTCTCCGACCTTGATTATGAAACAGAGACCGAAACTGGGCGAGGAATCAAGGCGGGGACGGGAAGAGAATTTGCGTGGAATAGCGGGGCGGGGACGTGGCAGGGCAGAATAAAGTAGATTCCTGAAAAACTTTTTTGTTCTTCAGTTTCACATTCAAAATTCGTATATGCATCAAGGAAGAGTCGATAAAAGTCGAGGCGGGGTGGGGTCGGGGAAGCAAAACAGTAAAGTGCGGGTGAGGCAGGGTCGGGTGAAGAAAGCTTTCGATGGGGCGGGGCGGGCAATGAAAAATCCGCCCTGTTTCGGCCTCTGGTACGGATAAATAGATAAGGCTAATTGTGTTCATGTAGAGGTCACTATGAAATTCTTCGTATGAAACCTTATTTTTAATTTGATGAAAAAGGTTTTGCGGGAAACCTTTCCTATGAAACCTTTTCTACAGCAATCCAGAAGAGGTTCGATACGAAACCTTTTTTGTTTAGAGTGTACAGTTATGTTTACAGGTACAAGTTCTACAAACTCTGAAAGTTTCATTCCATTCGCATGAAGTCGATGTAATTGTGATGCACTCTCAAAAGAATACTCCATTTGTTCACATATACGGTACTTTATCATGGACAAATATAACTTCATTCAAGTCTACAATATTGTCGTCATTTTTTAAGGAAAGAAATACGTTTTTGAATCAAAATTATGTCACGAAGATATTGATCAGTCCAAGATTCGCCTTCCTTTTTTATCATCCATTATAATTTCTTGACAGTAACAATAACGAAAATCTCAATATATGCTTGATTTTTAACTATTTCACGGTATCTTTCATCTTCTCCGGTATCTTCGATACTTCTTGCCAAAATTCGATCATTCTGATAATTTGGTGTGCGAAGGACGTGTAAATAAAACTCATCAGATGGTGCGAGATGAAGGAAGTCCTCTTCGGTCTAGTCTTTCAACCACTCATGCAGCTATAATCGCTCTAAAATAAGACTCTCCGATTTTAACGGTATTAGAATAACATGAAACATCCTTAGTCCTTCTCTATGATGGTAATGATTCATTGAATGATGCACATTTACCTCGAACTTTGTCTTATGAATAATTGTTTTCATACTTATAGTCGGTAAAATATTATAAAATTTGAGAGTTCGACATACGAAAGTCTTCATAACTCTCATTGTTTAATACCAATAAATCAAGTTTTCGACGAACTTTTATTTTATATAAAATTTATTGTTTACTGTATTTGAAATTATAGAGATTCTCCACCTGGACAAATATTATTTCATACCTAGTATATAGTCTATGATGAATTTATTATTATTTAAATTATCTGAAATGAATTTATATTGATTGTATTAATAAAATTTATTCTTTCTTTCGTTATAGGCTCGTTTTCTTACATCTAGACTAATTCGGAACGTATGATTAAATGTGAATAAAGAAAATAGATAGAAAGAATTTTACTTCGAAAAAATTCATTTGACATATGATTTTTAATCCAATAACCAACTTGTAATTTTTGATACAAAGTAAACAGAAGAAAACAATATTAGCATTATTAGATACACTCGTATTATATATCACACTTGATTTATTGATCAATAGTCCAATATTACTTGAATAATAAACGATATAAATGTACAGAACTATTATATAAAACTTCATCAGATAGATGATTTTTTATTCACTCTCAAAGTTACAATGTTTACTTTAAAGCAAGTAAAGTAAAGGAAAACAAATATATATGTAAGTGTACCTAAATAGTCAAATATTATACTGTTCAATTTTAAATTCGTAGTTTCGCTGTGAATCAATATTATCGAACATATTAATTGACTTTTTTAGTTGAAAAATTACTTTCTGTTGAGTTTTTCAAGAGTGTCTGAATATTTTTCTTTTGTTTTACAATAATATTCGAACTCTAAAAAGCATACCGTAAGACTTTAATCATGGTAGAGATGATCAATATTTATTTATACCATTTGTATATTTTTATCAAAAAAGGAAAGGGTTATACTATATATATATATAGTACAAGGTATAAAAGTGTACAAGCAATTATGAACACTAATGCAAAATTTCCACCGTCTGATGAACAATAAAAAAAACACAGAAATATACATGAAACCAGTTTATAGTTGAAACTTATCGAATTGACAAGTTGAAAGAACTATCACGATTACATTAACAAAGTTAAAAAAAATACAATAATTGTTGAACAATAGACAAGATTTGATCGAAGAAATTCTCTATAAAAAAAAACCACGAAAATAGAAAGAAAAATGCGAGAAAACTTCACAATCACAATAAAAAAAAAAAGAAATATAATAATATCAATTTATGCATGCAGTATTTCATTTACACGAGTGCGATTATCAGTAATATCTTTCAATAATCGTTCATGTTCTTGTTCAAGGTCAGCAAGTGCACGTGAACGTCTATAGGAATAATATAAAATAATATTAATCTGAAAGGAGAAAACACTCAAAAAAATTACTTTATCCCTCTTGACGTTGATGTTGTATGAATTCCATTTGTTTGTTCTGTTGATATTGCAACAGGTGAATTTGGAGAATTCTTAATTATAAAAGAAATCATATAACAAAAAAAAAACGAGAATTAAACATAAAACTTACCGTGGTTTCTGTTGTTGTAGGTGTTTCTATAGGTAGGAAAATTTTCGTTGTTTCACTAGAAATTAAAGAACAAAAATATTACTTCCAAGAATTAAAATAAACCGAATATAGTCTGTTAAAGCAAAGATCAATACTAAATGTTAACAGTGTTTTGTCCGTCATTATAAAAATATCTGACCTGATCATACTCATAATTATTCTAGGTATTTGTCGAATAATTGAATAATTACTGAATAGATATGAATATTCAAAAATCTTATGAATTAAGTTTTCTTCTTTTGTTCAACATTTTATTATTATTATTATTTTATTTACCTTGATGTACAATTTCGTTCATTATTTATCAATTCAGTCAATTTTATTTCATTATTACTTTCGATTTTAATCAATTGACGAAGTTGTCTTAAAGTAAATAAACAAATTTTATTATTTAATAATATTTTCATATCTACTCTCGATTTTTTTCAGTAAGTTTTCTATATTGTTCATGTAAACGTGTTACTTCATCAATTGTTTTTCCATCAAGACTATTAGTTGATAATGTACGTGCATGTAATGCATTAATTAATAAATCATTATTAGGTGTCAATGGTGTCATATTATTAACAGCAGGAATAAAATCTACAATAGATAAAAAGAAAATTAATCAATATGTAATTTATAAAGAGAAATAATACCTGATCGAATAAGACCAACAAGATCTTCGGCTATACGACGCATAATATTATCAAGTGCAAATAAATCATGTGGAGGTAGACGATGTCTTGAAAGAACATTATTTGCCTAAACGAAAATTAAATTTAAATATGTGTTTTTTTTAATAATTGAATAATCAATCATACAGCTTTTATAAAAAAATAAAATGATCGTTCAAGATCAATACGTAAATCACTATCCATTGTTGTTCTGTCACAAATTTGATCTAAATCATTTATTTAAATAAAATAAATATTATAGAAAAAAAAAAAAAGAAATTTCTTTTACCTAATGTATTTCCTAATGCATATACATTTCCGTGATCCAAATAATCACAAATACCATCAAATAAAATTAAAAGTTTTTTCTAAATAAATAGAATATTTTAAAAAATCACAAATATGTTGTATATTAAATATAATTACAATATCTAATAGGTCAGTTTCACGTTTTTCTTCTATTAAACTCAGCCATTGATTAATGAGCTAATTAATAAAAGATTTCAAATTTTTACTTAATTATCTATAGTAATTCTTACAGCTGTTCGATTATCTTTATCACGTAACAAATTTGCTAATTTAAGTCGACGACGATCATCAATTGATATTTGAGTTGCTAGATCCCGAGCTGGACTATAAAAAAGAATATAATAAATTGATCTTTATAAAAATAAATTTATTAATTCATACTCAGAAAACATGCTGTCTTCGTCGCTTGAACTTTGTCGTAATAAGGGTGAAGGATCTGCTACAATAATGAGATCTTAAAAAAAAATCAAATATTTACTTCATTTATATGAAATTCTCAGAAAAAAAAAGAAAATACTTACTACCGCTTAATTCTCGTGATAATACAGCTTTCGTTCTAAATTTTAAAAAAATCATGTAAAATATTGTTAAATGAAAAATAATGGAATTGTTTGTATTTTAAATAATAACGGTTTGGCATAGGTTTATGGCAGCTCCATATCAACTATCCAACTCTTTTCATATGAGCTAGGATTTCTAAAAATCTGATTTCATCCTTTTTAATCTATTTCTAACAGCTCCATTTCAATTTACATGACTTAAAATGGAGGTCTTACAAACCAATCAGATAGATGAAAGAAATTATTCAATAATCCAACTCGTATAAAAGGAGCCGCCCATCAGACTCACTCAGATAAGAACAGCTAGTTAAGTGGCCTGCTTATATAGAAAAGAATTGATCGTCAGTAATTTGATTCAACTCTTACGAATCATTGAATTGTGAACTATCGCATATATCTAGTTTAACAACAACTTTTTCGATTGTGTACTAGAGGAAAATTGCAGAGATTTCAATCTTAAAGCCTTATAAAGTCTACTGTTTCCCACTCGATTTTGTGCTATATAAAAAAAAAAGATTAATCATACTTTATAATGTGGGAAAGTTTTCTTTATGGTAAACAATTGTATCATATTAAATAGAAAGACATTCGATAAGACGTTGATAATATATATTGTGGTAAAGAATCAAACTTTCTCGTGATATGTTGTAGTAATCTAATCCTATGACTCATATTGACATGAAGTAACGAGAAAAACAATTCTTCAGATCTGACCTGATGATCATAGTTAAATCTTCTTTAGGTTTAACAGAATTATCTAATAAAACATACCAATAAAAAAAAATATAACTCAGAAGAGATGAAAAAAAAAGTACGAAAAAATGAATCTTTTTTTGTTAGATTTAATACAAATAAATTCTAGGATAATTTTCTCTAGAACACAATCATTGGAAAAGAAGTCAATAGAGTCCGATCAGGACTAAGACTAAAACAAACTTTGATCACGCACATGTCTAACTGTGACTATAGAATAGATATGTTACAATGAAATATGTTGATTCCGATATTTATTAACATTCGCATTACATATAATAAAGATCTAACACATTCTACATTATATCTTGATTGATTAAAAGTGATAAAATTATTTTCTTATTATACTTTGAGTCAAATATTGTACAAGTATATTCAAATGATCTTAAATTATTAATAATCAAAAGATAACATGAATTTCAATGTTCTATTAACACACACACACAGTTTGAATGACAAAATTTCATAAAATAAAAATCTTAGAACATGAAAATTTATTTGATCTTCGTATCAGATTATTTATAAATTTTATTTTCTAACTAATAATAAAATTCAATTAATTTTTAATCAATCGAAACAATTCGATCTTTCTTCATTTTATTATTTCTACGTTCATTTTTCAATAAATAAGACTTATCTTTTTACTTTTTCAAGAACAATACCAAAATTTATAAAAAAAAAAAAACAAGAATTTTGTTATATCAATATTTATTGATATAACGAAAATAAATTCCGTATTAACTAAAATAAAAACATGCAGTAGCATAAGATCCAATCATCTTCTCACAAAGAAATCTTCTATCTATAAACTTATTTCCAAATATTATACTTATCATTTTTTTTTCTTATCGGATAATCATCAAAGCACTCAGCTTATCTTATATGATGAGTCAAAATTTTCGAGTCATCTATCGATATAGTGTAAAGTGCAACTAAGAAACTTTTTTTTGTAAATATATTCTTCCTTTCATTACTTTATTTTGTCTCTTTTTTCTCCTATTTCAACATATATGTATATATATTCAAAAGTAAAGAACATACTTGCAAAACGGATGATTTAATAAATCTTTAGCTGATGGACGTCTATGAGGTGGTTCAAAGCATCTAAATACACATACACAAATAAAAATAAACAATAACGAATATCGATAATGAAAATTAAAATATATTTATGTATATATTTCTTATTTACTTGGCTAGAAAATCTTTAGCTATATCAGATAATTCAGATGGAATATCAGGTGATTGTTTTTCATTGCCAATTTTAAATAATAATGCAAAATTATTTGTTACATTATGAAATGGTCGTTTACCAGTTGCCATTTCAATAACTGTACATCCAACACTCCAAATATCAACCTAAAACCATGTGAAAAAAGAAAATAAATCAGATAATTATATATATATATTTTTATTTTGATTATATACTTCTGGTCCATAACCCATTGGAGGTACAAAAACAACATCAGGAGACATATATTGAAGAGTTCCTAAAATGATAAGTTTATTTTAATTTATATATATATATATATTTTTTATATATGTATATTATCTTACCAACAATATCATCTGTACAAAGATGAAGACCAGCAAGACGTTTTGATGTGCCAAAATCAGCAATTTTGATTTCACTTTATAAATTATAAAAATAAAATTGTATTGAATTAAAAGTATTTTTCCTCTCTTTTTTTCGTCATTTCTAATTCTCGAAGAGGATATAATCGATCCGCATGAAATATCTACAAACTCTTGTTTTTCATAGAACCACAGCGGACCCACTTACGACCTCCGTCTAACTTTATTCGGTCCGGTTGAAAATTTTTTTCAAGATATTTTAGACATTATCTCAAAGATGATTTTAAGCTTTTTCAAAAATCTAGCTTTCTTTTTACTTTTATGAAAGAAACAGGTAACGGTTCGAGGTCAAAACCGAGGTGCTAGCGTTCGAGACTCTATAAATCCGGATAGGTAGTTCAACAGTGAAAACTGCCGATTTCACTCCTGGAAGATACTTTCAAGTATCTGTGTGGTCGAAATTTCAGTCCATTCGGACAAAATTAGAGACAGCTCGTAAGCAGGCCCCATACAATCCTCTCGAAAACTAGAGTTTTCCAATAAAGTCATGTTTAAAACTTTTTGCCTCGAACATGTGTCTCCTTATTTTAGATATTCTATCTGTAGTAAGAATTTCATGTGGATTGATTGTATTCTTTTCGAGAACCAGTAATGAACCGAAAAAAAAAGACGATAGATTCGCTTGAATTATTTTGATTACCCTCTTGAATTAATAAGAATATTAGCTGATTTAATATCTCGATGTAAAATATGATTTTCATGTAAATATTGTAGACCTTCAAGAAGTTGTCGAGTATATTTTCTAATAGATTGTTCAGGAAATTTTCCAAAGTTTGCAAGAAGTTGTGAAAGACTACCACTAGAATGAAAAAACAAATAAACAATTAAATTAGTCTATTATAAGACAGATAATTGTGTTTATGTATTCTAACCCATCAACATATTCCATAATAACTTGAAAGATTGGAGGTTTTTTATTTGAATCAACAGCTGTACCATAATAACTAACAACTAGAAAAATAAATAAATAAATACTTATTTATTTATTTAGAGAAGAATAACGAACTATTTTTATGATTAAGTGTTGATAGTATTTTAATTTCATTTTCGAGAACTTCTGTATAAGATGGATTACGCATTGGAATTTCTTTGACAGCAAATTTTTTCCATGTTATACGATCTTGTGCTCTATAAACTTTTCCATATGTACCTTGACCAAGCGCAATACGTTGACCATTTTGATCACGATCGAATTCAAGCTAAAATTAATAAGTTGAAAGATCTTTGCGTAAATCGAAAAATCATTTTACATGATTAAAAACTTTTGTCTTTTTTCTTAAAGATGATGTGACATCTCTAATTCATTGAAAATATTGTATCTATCGAATTTTCAAAAATAAATTCATGTGTCCTACACTAGATAAAAGTATATAATGACTTGAGTATAGGAGTTTTTCAGAAACTGATGCAACATCTTAAATATTCTCGTTCTTTCTTAAAAGAAAAGATGACTCTGCTACTTCATAGTTAGGCACGGAACAGAACTGTTCTGGTGTCTTGCTCTCTACAAAGCTAGATACAGCTAAAGTTTTTTTCCTGTCCTTCTGTTCAGCAAGACAGGAGTCATAAACTTGTTTTGTAATCTTATCTACTATACAGTGAGCCAAATAGCATAATACAATAGTCAATAAATGAACTATTGATTAAAAACTGACGATAGATCTATTAGGTCTTATTCAATATGATATTTTGAATATTTAAACCAGAGTCAAGGAGAATCAGGCAATAAAAAAACAAAGTGCATGTCTTGATCCAGAGCAGTTAGATCAGATCTTTTTTTCATTATTTTTTAATGAATTATTATTTGAAACTAAAATGAAATAAATAGGCGGAAGGATAACTGACAATTTGATATGTTTTGCAGGATAGACACTGAAAATAAGAATATTGCCAATTTTACAGAGATCTTATCCTACCACATAGAGCAAGACAGAACAAGTTGTTCTGTGCGTATCTCTGTTCTAAATATATCACTGAATGGAAAATATTCGGAAATTCTTTTCATATAATACGAAAGATTCGAAAATTTCATGTCTTTTGAACGTTCGATATCTGCTGAAGAAAATATTTTTTTCAACTGAAATTTTCAAGACATTCTAATTACAAGATGGCTTATCTATGGCACAAAATTTCAGATCAAAATATCGTCATTCGATTCTTTTGTACATCCTATGCTATAGGCTTAAATCTCAGTAAAACGGCTATGACTCTATAAGAAAAGCCTAGAGGTCCTTTCCAGAGTTTTTATTATCTGAGTATGGTCTACCTTATGTGTAGAGTCAGAGCTCAAAATTAATTTTCAAGTTGGGAAGGTTTCTTCGTAAGGTTAACCTTAATCATAAGATATGGTATAAAATCCACTTCAAATTGAATTATCTATTGATACTATGTATGTATTCGTTCGACGCATTAAGTTATCAATGGATTAATCAGTTTCAAACATTACAAGAATATTAAAGATATTTTGAAATCTAAACTGCTTATCAAAATTGAGCATCGAAAAGTGATAAGGAAATTTTTTTTTTAATAATTTCTTATAAATATTGGACGATGTTCATCATTATATTATTCCTTGCAGTTTTTATTACTTACATCAAATTCAAATTTTGCTTCCTCAACAATTGTTTCTACACGATACTTTGACATTTTTTCATTAAATCTATAAGAGAGAAAAAAAAACTCGAAACAATGCAAAGTTTTAGTTTTTCAATAGATAAACCTACGCTGTACGTCGTTCAGCTGATGCAAAATAAATTTGAAGTTCAACAGCTGAAAATGTTTCAGAATTTTCATATGCATATAAAAAAATAGATCGATTATCACGTTTAACATTTCTTAAAATTAAGAAAAAGATTAAAAAAAAAATTTACAAATTATTTTGTTTTTTGTTCTTTATATAAAATCTTACATAATTGATCGAATTGAATTCATTTCAATTGTTTTAACAAGATTACCTTTACATATTTGTTCTTGTTGTTCAATTATACGTATAACAAGTGTTTCAGGTTCACAATCCGTATGAAAATTTAATTGTAAATGTGCTTCAACATAAATATTATTTACTGGTGCTCCATCAGTTTTTTCATAATTATCACAAATAAGAATCTAAATTAATAAAAGTCTTTATTTTTTATAGAAAACGAAAATAAAAAAAAAAAAACATTTTTTTTCTTTTCTTTATTTAGAAAACATACGGGTACTTGAGCTGGTAATTCTCTTTCTTCAGATGATGTTGAATTAGAATTAATAGCATCACTAAAAAAATCTATCCAAAAACTGTATCTATGTTCATCAGCAGTTGTGATTTTTGATTGTTCACGTGATGATAATCGTTTTTGATCACGTAGACGTGTTGCTTGATGAAGAATTTTTAAATTATTTATTGTAGATTTTAAATACCATATCGGAGGATTAAGTAAATACATATGTAAAGCTGCTTGACATGCTTTTGACCAATAATGTAAAACAGCATGTAATTCAAAATAAGTTGCGACATCCCAATAATCATTTAAATCTTTTAGAGAACGACCTTTTTTACCAAGTAATGCATTTAATATAATAACTTAAAAGAAAAAAACATTATTGTTTATTGAAAGAAATGAATTCATTTTCAGCTAGATTAATTTTCTTTACATATACTGAAGATAAGAACGGATAAATAATAAATAAATATTTCACTGTCTTGGAACGATAGCGCAGTTAATTGCATTCTTATCTGTATAGTTGAAAGGAGCGAGACGCCTAAGAGGTCAAATAGGTCAACCAGTATTTTTCTTGGTCTACCCCATTAAATCATATATTAATGGAAAGAGTATGATGACACTAACATTTTGATGCTAGTTTCATGAGATTTTGGTTGAATTTTGAAACCTAAAATCTATCAACAAACTAATGCATTTAAGGTTATTGTTCTAATAATCTATCGTATCGTGGTAGATTCAATTTGAGAATAAGTAGAAAAGACAAAATACTACTGAAACTATGAATTTGACATTTCTTTGATGAGACTTCAAATCCCATATATAAATCACTAATTGATTGTTTAATTTAATGAGATTTGAATCCGATGTACTAGTTGACACTATTAGTATATTTATTATATTTATCATCCACACTAATCCTTTAACAAATATTTTAATTTAGAAATTGAAATGAATAAAACTATTAATATGACATGCAGAGTTAGCATAAAATTCTAAGTTGGTCTAGATGCGATTTAAAGAATTTCTTGAACTTTTCACTTTTCATTGAAAAATTTATCTCTAGTCACTCTCAGAGACTTGACGAAAAATAAATTGCATCGAAACATGATTTGAACATCACAAATAAATCTCGAAAGTTGTTAACAGTTATTAGATATCAAAATGGCAGATATCTAGAAAATAAAAGCAGAATTTTTATTGAATTCCTTTCTTATCTGGTCCCTGAGGGGAACCAAGAATAAATTTTTCGCCGAAAGAAAATAGTTCCAGAAATTCTTTAAATTGCACCTAGACCAATTCAGAATTTTATGCTAATTCCGAACATCATATTACTTTTGACTCAAATTGAACTTTTTCTCATTGAAATTTTCTAAATATTGATTAGAATGATACAAAACTGCACCTGGAGAATTGTGTACTTAGAATATTTTTTTGTCTTTAGAAAATATATGATTTTTGTAGCTTTTTAAAAAGGCCATGAAATGAGCAATATTATAGTTTTGGTTGTTTCAATTTCTAAATTAAAATATTTATTGAAAGATAAGTGGGATGATAAATATAATAAATATGCTAACAGTGTCAACTAGTACATCAGATTCAAATCTCATTAAATTAAACAATCAATTAGTGATTTATATATGGGATTTGAAGTCTCATCAAAGACATATCAAATTCATAGTTTCAGTAGTATTTTGTCTTTTCTACTTATTCTCAAATTGAATCTACCATGATACGATAGATTATTAGAACAATAACCTTAAATGCATTAGTTTGTTGATAGATTTTAGGTTTCAAAATTCAACCAAAATCTCATGAAACTAGCATCAAAATGTTAGTGTTCAAGAAGAATTGAACTAAAGATAGAATTTTTTTTTGAAAACATTAGATATGATTTTGCCTAGTCAAAATTAGCTCTGTGCATAACTGAGATTAAAGAAAAAATTGATATGGAGGCTTCGGCATTGTTTATCACCTTTTTTAATTACTTTTGTATTAAATGAGAAAATCATTTTGAGTTCATTTGAATATAGATGTGGGAGGTAAGTTTTGAAACTAGTTGAGATTGAAATTGGTACTTTTGATTTTTGCAAAAAAAGATATTTTTTATAAAGATATAAGTCCATTTGTTTATTCAAAATTTAAAGTTTTTTTTTTTTAGTGTATTTAATGACAAAGACATAAGACGCTTAGTATTTTTTTATGCGATAATAAATTAGTCATTTTTTTGATGATGGGAACATGGGGGCATTGATGAATGGTGAAATTTTATTATGAGTAAATAATTTTTTATCTACAGTATCTGTATGTTCTGTTTTGATGAAAATGTATTGACGTGAGGTGATTGTCTAAAAGAATCGAATGTTTCTTGAGCAAGGGATGAAAATGGGTTCACATGGAGTAACTATCTAAAAGAATCGAACGTTTCTCCAGCAAGCAATGAAAATGGATTGAGAGGTACTTCTTCAGAATACGCACACCTCTTCACCTCTATTCGTTGTCGTACCAGTCAATATGTGCATAGGGTGTGTATTTTGAAGAAGAGCCCTAATCTTCTGTGGCTTTAAACTTTCAATTAGATATTATCAATCAAATATTCTCTAACATATGAATTTGTATAGTAAACATTCATAAATAAAATTCATAATAAAAATCAACATTGATTTCTATTTCCCATCTGTTTTCAACTAACTAAAAAATATATCAATTCTATCAAAGATTACAAATTTAACAATTTCCTTAAACTCAACTAGTAGTAAACTATCTATAATATATTAAATACACTAGTAGACTTTTCAAAAAAAGATTGATTTTTTTAATAAATATATTTTTTATTTGATCAACTTACTAATTTTATATGCTTCGTTATTCTTTATTAAATCGTCTGTTGTAATTGCCAAAAGAAATAGTAAATTAATACCAGCACTAAAATAATGAATATTTGAAAAATAAAAATTATTTGTTTCTCTTTTGACTTCTTACTAAATATTAGGATCAGCAGCAAAACCTCTTCGATAATATTCAATAGCTTTTTCTAATGAATTTTTATCTTGACAATTTGATTCAGTATATTTATCTTTATAAATTCTTCCACATAAACAAATAATATCATTTGATAATTCATTTTCTGTTTTTTTTGTTTGACATAATCTTTTAAGAACTTCTAATGCTTTATCACGATCATCATTTTGATTTCGTCTAATAAATAAAATAAATTTTTTTCTTTTAATTATTTTATTTTTCCTCTTCAAAAGAAAATCATATATTTACCGGCTACGTGCAAATGCTGTTAAATATAAAATCATAGTATTATTTTGAATTCTTTTTGAAATTATTTCATATTGTTCACAACGTTCAATTAATTCTATCATTGATTGATAATCCTTTAAAAAAAAAAAAAAAATCTATTAAAAATTCAAATAAGATATTTCAAATTTTACTTGTATATCTCGAAAAGCATACATTAATTGTGTAATTAATTTTGGTGTAGCACATTGTTGTCTTGTTTTTGTTAGAATTTCATCACAAATTTCTCTCCATAAATACTATGAGAAAAATAAACATTAAGATTTTATTTATTCAATAAAGAACAAAAAAAAACAAAGACAAATTAAACATACAATACATTCAGCATTTGCATCATGAACTTCATTTTTACGTTTTTGAAGACGATTTAAATATCGAGTAGCAAGACCTTCCCTATAGCTATTAAATTAGTAGAGTTTTTTTAATAAACTAAGATCTTACTGCATATTATCCGCAGCTTCCTTTAAGAGACATTTTAAACTGATTTTAAGTAATGTTGATGAATTTGTTTTTTGTGTTGTTACATCATAAAAAACATTGTTTTTTTCATCATATTGATACTCAATTATTTGTTTTATTTTACATGTTGTCTAAAAAAAAGTAATTTTGTACACAAAATTCTATTTGAATTATGTTTACTTTCAGATCTTGAATAGCATTAGTTCTATCATTTTCAACATCACTAGCTTGAATTAATACAATGTCATTCATACAATCTACACTTTCACGATTGCCTTTGTGATACATAAAAGTGGGACGACGATCTTGATTTGTAACATCCTATAAATCAAGTATATAGTTTCTTATAAGAAAAAAAAAACCAAGATTTATTCTAACCATAACAACAATATCAGCATTAAGAAATTTATTCACAGATTCATGTTCTTGAAAATCAAGTTTATGTAATTCAACTGTTTCACAGCTATAATTGAGATCGTAAACAATGGTTTGAATTGTTTCCCATAACTTTTGCCCATAATATTTATATGGTAATGGTATATTTGGATTAAGTGAGTCAGAATCTGTCAATAAAACGACTTTTAAAGGAGGCATAATTTTTTTTCTTTGTTACTGATAACTTTCTAAAATACAATAGAATTACCAACAACAAAAAAAACACACCTGATCAATTCATTTTTATTCTCACCAATTCAGTGACATGTCTATCGAAAGTTTCTTCAAGATATGCAAATTAATTATCGTAATCTACGTCAAGAAAAATATTTTATCCTTTCTCCATTGCCTATCCTTCGTTCTTTTTTTCATATTCTTCTATAAATATCTACATCTTGATGAATGATCACGTAGCCATGTCGTGATACTTGAAATAATCAAATCAAAATACAACGTTCGATATTTCAGCTCTTGATCCGACAAAAACATGGCTATGTTAATTCGAGTATGACATCTATCATTTATTAGGGACGATCAAATTTTTATCCAATAGAAAAATATTTCTCTCGATATAGAGAACAATAATGCACTATTAATGGCAATGACAACAAGCAAATAAAAATAGAATGAACGAACAAACAAAAAAAAAAAGGAGAAATCATTTTTAAACTTGTTTCATCATCATCATCATTATTCATCTTCGTTTATAAAACTTTTCTTCGCTTGACTGATTATAACATATTCAAAGAATAAAACTTTTTAGATAAATGATAAATTTTGTTACTGTTTTTTTCGATTAAGTGTATGTATATTCATCTACAAAAGTATTTAAAGAAGAGTTTCCGATTCGTATGAAGTCACTTCTATCCCAAAGATTTTCTGAAAAAAACTTTACATAACTACTAGACTTGTAGGTAATTAAAATTACAAGATTCAGAATACGTTCCAGGTCATGCATATTTAAAAAATTCTTGATGTAAAGAAGTACCGATACGTAAGATCAAAGATAAAACATAGAAAATAGGAAGGTAATAAATGTCTAGGAGTTAATTAAACAAACTCATTGTAATCTATTATGCACGACTTGTATTTGTCTGGATAGATTTTCTGATTGGTTAAACTATTATTTGTATAATTTTAATCGGAAGTATGTTTATTTTTCATAAATTATAAAAGTATATGTGTTGATTGATGATTGTACCCTAGTAGTAATCTTACATATTTATCTTCTATGATTAGCCGTTGTTTTTTCTTTTGAAAAAATATATCTCGAGGCGCGTTTTGTTCAAAAAAAGAATAAGAGAAAAGTCCTTTTTTTTGTTGCATTATTTTGTCTTATGCAACAAAACTGGTTTTATTATTCTATTGAAGAAACACTCTTTGTATTTCTTCGTTTTCGTATATTCATTGATGAATAAACATATATATGTAAGTTTTTATTTTAATTATTTGTGTTTAAACAAAATTGTTTGTTTTTTGAACTGATTTATATATTTAAAATTTTAATTTTAGAATTTAAATTATATTCTTTCGATATTAATTGTCAATAAATGTTTTTTTCATTACACGTAAGAATTTTTTTTTTTTTGTATATTAAAAAAAAAACAATAAAGTTTTCTAATAAACTTTTTTATTTTTCTAGAACACTCATTAATTACGATTAAAATAAAATTTTTTATTGAGTGTGTGTGTGAGTGTGTGGCAGTGTGCCTTTGGTGACAATAAATATAAAGGTAAATGATTCTATTTATAAAAAGAACAATAGATCTGTTCAATTTTATTTTGTATTATTCAACTTAAATAAGAAGATAAAAAAATAAAAAGATAATACTTTTTTTTTCAAATATTTATGATACAGAAAATATCAGAATAATTATCATCATAGTGATTTGAAAATGATATTGAATACAATAAAAAAAAAAAATAATTAAAAGATCTTTTTAAAATCAATTAATTATTAAGACTCGTTCATTCTTGATTTTTGTTTGATTGATTCTATTTTATCTACGAACAAAGCAGATTTTTTTTTTGAATTTGTCTTTGCCTAGTCTTGAGTATATAAATCAGGTGTTTTATCAATCATATCTCAAAAAATAAAAATAGAAAATAAAAATATCAGTATAGTATATGACGATGGAGGAGGAAAGTATTCTCATACGAAATAGTTTATATGAGTAAGAAAACATTTAAGCATTATCAACGACGTTTGATACATCTTGTAACATCAATCGTTCATCGATCGTTTCAATATAATTATTCATTATCATCTGCAAATGTTTCAACTACTGATGATAATATCAAGTTTGTTGATGTTTTCATAAAATATTATTTATTAAAAAAAAAAAAAAAAGATTAATCTTAATTTAAATTTATTTCTATTTGGTATTAATTTTATTTTTGTTTTTGTTTATTTCAATTAGATCAATGGGTCAATTTTTGGAAAAACCTAAAATTGAAAAACATAATAGTCGAGGTAAAAATGATGATATTCGTTATGGTCTTGGATCTATGCAAGGATGGCGGTAAATCTTTTCGTTTATGTTATTCTTTTTTTTTTAATTATTCTTATGAATTTAGTGTGGATATGGAAGATGCACATGCTACTATACTTAAATTAGATGATAATCATTGGTCATGTTGGTCTTATTTTGGTGTATTTGATGGTCATGCTGGATTTCGTACAGCTGTTAAAGCTGCTGAAAAACTTCATTTACATATTTTATCATCTCTTAATACATTAGTACAAGATAATCTTAATGGAAAATCTTCATTATTAAATGTAACATCATCACAACTTGATTTTAATAAATTTGAAATGGCTATTAAAGATGCTTATTTTAAATTTGATAATGAATGGAGAGAAGAAAATCGAACTATTAATCCAGGTATGACAAAAAAAAAAAAAGAAAAAAGAAAATTAAAACTTTACAAATAAAAAAACTCATCTATGGTTATTCATAGATGATAAAAGTGGTACAACAGCTATATCATGTTTAATTGATGCAGAACGTGTCTATTTTTTAAATGTTGGTGATTCACGTGCTATTCTTGTATCAAATGAAGGTCGAATTCTTCTTGCTACAAAAGATCATAAACCAAGTAGATATTTTTATTTTCAAGAAAAAATTTGATTTATTATAAAAAACAAAAAAAAAAATTCATTTATTCTAAGGTGATCAAATGGAACGTCAACGAATTCAAGAAGCCGGTGGTACTGTTTTAATTCAACGTGTCAATGGTTCATTAGCTGTATCACGTGCACTTGGAGATTTTGAATATAAAAATAATTCAAATCGTCGACCAGATCAACAACTTGTTTCACCTGAACCTGAAGTAACATGTCATACACGTAATTTAACAATAGATTCTAGTAAACAAGAGGAACAAGTTGCTTTTATTGTACTTGCTTGTGATGGTATATGGGATGTTGTTACAAATGAAGAATTAGCTACATATATACTTGGTCGTATGCATGTTACGGATGATCTTAGTGAAATTTGTAATTCAGTACTTGATATGTGTTTGTATAAAGTTCGTTGATTTGTTTTTATTTACAAAAAAAAATAATTTAAAAAATTTTTTTTTTATTGAATGAAATTTTTTAGGGTAGCAAAGATAATATGAGTTTAATAATAATTGCTTTTAAAAATGCACCTACACCGACTCCAGAATGGAAAGCAAAAGATGACACATTAAATAATGAAATTAAAAAAAAGACTATTGGTATAAATTTTGTTTGTTTGTTTTAAAAGATTTTTAATCATTTGATTTCTTTTGTTTTTTGTTTTATAGAAATTTATAATCGTAATCCAAATAAAACAAATTTAGATTCAAATACATTATGGCAACAAGTTGTTACATCTCTTAATGAACAATCATCTATTCGTGAAGTACTGCCAGTTGGTGGTGGTTTTATTTCAAAGTAAGAAAATACTATATATACATTACTGAACTAAAAATCTTCCCCTTCTCTTTCTTTTTTGAAAATTTTTAATATTTGCTTAACTAAAATATAATAAAGATATTTTATTTCAATATGGTCCATAGTCATAATTTGCTCCGAATCGAGCATTGTACTCATCTTTTAATACTATCAACCAAATTAATTGACAGAACTTTCTGTTAGTAATTGTCTAATTCGAGTTAGAAAATAAATCAAAATTTCATCGGCATTCACATAGCCAAAGACAAATTTTTTTTGCTGAATTCGAATTATAATTCGAATGAAGATATTCATATTAGAACGGCCAAGAATATCTCAATTATAATTAAATGAGGAACTTGCATGTTATAACGACCAAAGTGTCAAAGATATATTTTGGACTCAAATATGGATGTGGTTGAAGACATTACCGATATCCACTATACTACGTACACAGAGACGAGCATGGGTCACAGAGACTCGACACACCCCCAAGCCATGGCGTTGATATAATAGGTTAGTTATTCACGTGGTAACTACTCAGACGGTATAATGTACGCTATACCGATGAGAAATCGCCAGTTTCTTCTAAAAGTGTTATATCAAAATGGGTGAATATTCTTGAAGTCTGTTAAACCTGACAGAATTGAGTAGTTTTTCGATGCACTTCGATAATGTTGATGAGTCTGAGCCGTCTAAACTCGCTCAGAGCCTAAATCAACTTCAGTTATAAGAAAAAATTTTGTTATAGATGGCGCTGCAAACATTTTTTATTAGTAAAGTATAGTTTGAAACTAGTTTTTTCTCGGTTAATTTGAATTATTTCTAATAAATAATTCGAATTTGGATACAAAACATTTTTTGCAATCGTTTATACCTTGAGCCGAAAGCCGTAAGGGCTACCACAGATTCTTATGAGTATCGTAGTGTATACCGACGGTAGTGTGAACAAACGTGCGATGTTGATAGGCCGCCAAAAGTACTTTTGGACAGTTACACATTCTAGGTCAGACTTTTGACTTAGTAAAGACTTAAATTAAAACTTTCAAACATTAATCATCAGACAAATAATGTGATCTGTCTAATAATAGTTGTTGTGATAAAAATTTATCTTTTAACATATAGGTCGTTCTAACATAGAAGTACTAATTCAAAATTTTTTCATTTATTTTCGAGATGATATCTGACTTGTAGAGCTTCACTTATATTTGAACTTGAATTAGGCAACTCGTGCTTTCCTTATTTCTTGTTGCAGTTCTTGAGTTGTTTGATTTTTTTTTTTATTTATCGTGTCCTCCATCCTCGATCCAACCTTTTCAATTGGATTTTGATCTAGTAATGATGGAGAAGACCAATACAGAATTTGAATTCTATTGTTGGTCACCAGACGGGATCTGTATGTAGGGCCATTGTTCTTTCGAAGAATCCAGCTAGCTGAACCTTCAGGAAATTGACAGTGAGCAATAGTCAGAAGACCATTCTCATATATGCTGCACATAAAATCTCCTGTCAATGTATGTTTGAAAGTAGTTAATTGTCTGAAACCTTGTTTTGAAACATTTTCATACATGCGACTTGATTAGAGCACTGTGTTTTCCAAAAAAATAGAACCAAAATCGAATCGAAACTGAAGTTTTTCAGTTTTTTGTACCCAAACCATTGGAGCCGAAAAGTTTTTTACTAATAACTGGAGTCATTTAGGGTGTGGGTGTGAAAGAAGAGACTATCAACGACCACACTCACACTGTTCTCATACTCTTTCTCTTTTTGTTTTAT